GATCAATAAAGTATTCTGATTCTGATTCTGATAATGCGCCCCATATAATTCCCTGTGGAAATTCTGCTATAATGAAGCTACACACGGCGTATTACATTTCTGCCATTTCCTTCACAGATCTAAACCATCAGCTCTCAAGTCATTGGACTAAGCTCAACTTTTGTCAGAACAAACACTCACAATGGGAAGAGGTGAAAGTGAAGTGTGGGAGGAAAACCCTGACGATGTTAAGCAAACTCAACCCAAAAAACACGCACCCACAAAGAGTAAAAGCACAGAGAAATCGGGGAGTAGCTGTCCCGCGTGCTGCTTGAAGACAAGGAACTGCCTGATGAGCCCAGAGTGTGGCAGGGCACTTCAGATCTCCCGTGTTGTTGCTATGTGTGGAATGTGTCTCCGCATGTTTATTGTAAGTCCAAACTTCAGAAACAGCAAGCAGCTATGATACAGCGTATAACTGGTTGGGTGCGCTGATGCTTGAATGGGAAAATAATTTCCTGCTTAGATGAGTATAATCATTGCTAACACAAATATATAACCCTGACATTTAGAGGGTGAATACATTTCATTTGTCTTTTTCTGCACATTGCAATTGAAATACAAGCCAAGTGGAAAAAAAATCCACAGAAAACAAAATGATTATTTATGGAAAATTGTCTTCTTTTTCCAAATTTTTCATTATTATTTTCTTTCTTTCTTTTTTTATTTTGAAATTGCAGAGATGAACCTTGGACGACACGACCAACCTGGAATATATTATTATTATTAAATCTCCTCCAGCACTTTGCATGAAAATCATGCCATTACTCAAAGAAGATAAAAATGAAGTAACAAATGAGAAAACATGTAAATAAGACCAACACTAATTATTAGTAGTCAATCAGTGGAAACACTGAGGTAAAGTGAATGTTACCTTATTATAAAGTTAAACACTGAAGCCTCTCGTAATAAAATCATGTTTGTTTAATCAGAATGCTACAGTATTTAGTCAAAGCAGTTGTTGTATATTTATTTTTGAAAAAAATTTCATTAATGTAAAAAATAATTATAGTAAATAAACTGGCACATCTAAGTAGTATCTTATCTAGGTTTCTGCTGATGAAAAATGTTAACTAAAGCTTTTAGTAACATCCCTGTAATGACAGCACAAGTGTGTCACCTGTACCAGTGCTAATAATAAAAGCATTTAATTATTTAAATACTTTATACTGTCAACGCCCTCACTTGAAGCCTGTTGGGAAATAACCAGACTAAGGAGGTATCTTCACATATTAACAAAAGACAGCTATGCCATTACTCATGCTTGTGAGTCAGACCCTTTCATGGCGTGTTATTGACGTCATGGAAAAGCCACTGAAGATTTTATGTCAATAACATTGGCAACTAGATGGTGGAGAGTTTTATAAATAGCATTTTTACAAAACTATCACGAGCCAAATCCAGTACTTTTTGGGAAGGAAAAAAATCCAGGTTGCTGGTTTCACAAAACTACTACCTCTTCCTTTTCAACAAGATTTCAGGCTCACCTGATCACTGCAAGGTTTAGTTGACCTTGTTGTGAAAAACCTAGTGGGAGATTCTGTGACACGGTTAAAAATAAAAATTGGCCACCATTAAAAGAAAAAGAGAATGACCTTCCTTGTCAAATAGGGCAAGTGAAACACACACCCCCTTTGCTCTCTGTTGCTTTACTTTTGACTCAACTGCTCATGTACCTGTGTGTGCACGTTTGATAGGGTTAAATTGCTTGCTGTGGCTTACTTGGCTTGATGTAGCTGCAAAATGTTGGTTGCATCTATATGCAATGGGTTGTAGAAATATACAAAGCAGCTTAGCTACCTTGCAGGCTCATTGTTCTTACTGAAACAAGCTGTTCAGTCTAACTGCAAATATTTGGGGAATGTAGTTCTCCTCAATGTT